TCAGACTCCACCTGAGTTTGTGCTACCAACAGAGCCAGCCTTTGATTATGTGTGATAATGGGCAGAGGGTTAGTATGGATAATAAATTGATAATGTCTAAAACTGGTCTGAACTTTTCATTCCAACTACTTCCATTAAAACACTGTTAGCAGAACTTGTAGCCAAGCACAAGCCCGGCACCTTCAGGAACCTGGGCCTCTTCACACCTTGTGGTTCTGCAGGTGGGTCCCGGGAGCCGCTGGAGGCGGGTAAGGTGTGGTGCAGGCGTCAGACTTTAGGGGCCATGCACCACTAGCTTCTGTACCATGAACCATGTCATGTCTGCATTGTCTGAAAGGTTTTGTGGGGAGTTTTTCGGCTACAGTTTTTGGTACATAGCCCAGGGCTTCTCAACTTTGGCGCAGCTGACATTTTTTTTCAGTTCCAGTTCTTTGTGGGCAAGCTGTCTTGTGTGTGTTTATAGCTGCATCCTTGGCCTCTATCCACTAGGTGCCAGTAGCACCTCATGATTTATGACCATCAAAAAGTTCTCCAGACATTTCTAAGTGTTCCCACGTTGAGAACCACTGGAAGAGCCCCTTATTGGTAGGTGTGTTTGGTATCATTTGGATACAGGAAGATGATTTAGTTGGCCCTCTTATTGGTGATACACCTTAGCTGTATATTGAGTAGCTCATGAGCAGTAATAAGTATGTCATGTCCTTAGGTCTTGGCATGTGAAGGAAGCTTTCTTCACTGCTCTGTTGGAATAATGGGCTGACTGTGCCGCAGAATGTAAAAGCTTGCATGTTGAGTGCAGGGGACCTTGGTGAGAAATATGGCTCCATTTCTTTACATCTGTGCTGTTGGGATGGTTACTGAGTGCTTCTGTGTTTCAGTTTTTACAGCTCTAAAATGAGGGGGCAGTGGTTGCTACCTCAGAGGGTTCCTGTTCCTATAAGCACCACATACCTGGTGCCTGGCAGGATGCGACTTAGAGGAATCCTGGGGGTTTGGCGAGTGACTCAGTGACAATAGAATAATCAGATGTCGCTGGGACTTCCCCTGGCCAGGCCCCACACATTTCCCCTGCTTGCCCACATTTATTTTAGGCTGATGCTCTTATGCACTGAAATGCGGGGTTACAGGAGGTAGGTCTTTGCCGAGTCCTTCGAACCTTGGAGTATCGGGTCCAGCAGTGCTTGTGTGGCAGAGAAAAGGGAAGGTGGTGCTTCTCAGGGTCCCTCCATTCCAGCCACAGAAATGGCACTCAGCCATCAGGGCTCTAGTGAAGTCCGACATGTTTCATGCTTTTCATCAGCAACCCACGCAAGCCCGAACCTTTGGTGAGAGTGGTGGAAAGCTATGAAACTCCTGCTGCTTCCGAGTGTTGGGGACCAATTCCTTTCTCTTTCTGGAATTAGCTTGAGCTGCTAGGATTTCTGACTTTTTTTTCCAGTCTGTTCTTCTGCAGCATTGTTTTGGATCCCATGGTTCTGTTCCCTGGGGGCCAGGCAGGGAAATGAATCCCTGACCTCACGTTGCCTTCCTGCGGTGGTGTTTAACATTTCTCCATTAAGCATGCAGTCCTCAGATCTCCAGATCTCTGGGCTTGGAGCATTAACGCATGTCCCTTTGCTATGGGGATGGGAAGATTTTCGTTTCTGAGAAACCAACAGTGTTAACTGCTTAGCTCAATAGCACCCCTCTGTGTGTTTGTTCCAGATTCAGGCTTACCTAGCCAAAAGATAATATAAATACCCAGGACTTGAAGTCGAAGTTGGAAACATTGCAGAGAAGTGATTCTCATACACTTTAAAACCTAAATTTTTTTTGTACTTTTTACCTATTGGAGGAATCAGTAATTTTTTATTTTAATGAAATACATTGTGACAATAATTTATCAATTGGGCATTTCTTTAAATGAATCTGTATTTTACTAAACACAGCACGTGACAAGGAAGCAAGTACTTTCATTTCAAAGTGCATAGGACTTAAGTGCAAAAGACACATTTTTATGCAGCTTAAAGATGGTGCTCAGAGTACATGTGAAATAAAAGACCTTTTTATGAATCCCAAGCCCACAGATAGGGACCCATTGTTCAACGTATGTGTCCTTTTTAGACCATTCCATTTGACAATGTCATATGTGTATTTTTTTCAGTTTTCAAATACAGTTGGCCATTTGTATCCATGGGTTTCACCTCCATGGATTCAGTCAACTGCTGGTGGAAAACCATATTCTCAGATTCCCAGTGGTGGTTTACCAACCGTGGATTGAAAACAGCTTTTGTTCCGCTGTTGGTTGAATCCATGGATGCAAAGAACCAACAGTTAGTTAAGTTTTGGGGGAGTCAGAAGTTACTCATGGGTTTTCAAATGTATAGGGGTTGGTGCCTCTTACCCGCCCTTGTTGTTCAAGGTTCAACTGTATTTCACTTTTCCAGTGCATTTTGATATGAGCCAGTCAGGTATATTATAAGAAAGTAACCTTACATCTCACTGTGCCCCATGGGGCCTATCAGATGCCATTTCATTATTGTTTCAGATGTACTGTCTGTCCATGTAAGAAATCTGAGGGGAGTGAGCATTCCCTTCTGTCTGTACGGTGCTTTGCAGCTTCATGCTCGTGCCTTGCTTGGACCAGGACCAGTTTTGTTTTTATTTTAATGTAGCCTACACTAACTTCTTTCTAACGTCTCCCCGTTATTGCTTTCCTCTTTTGTATCTGCAGTATCTCTCTCTCTCTAGAGGCTACTTCCCTTCCAGGCATAAACCTGCACAAGTCCTTAAAATAGTAAAAAAGCTGTAGGTCTAGAAGTTGTGACATCCCAGTAGCTATAAATGTGCTCAAGCCCTTTCCACCCTTAAGTAACAAAAGTAAGAGCCCTGTGTAGATGATGAAGCAATGATCCCTAGTATCAGTGAGCTCATCTTGTTTCTGAGAATCACTGCCCCATACAAGGAACTGGGGCTCCTTGGAGAAGTGACTGATTTCAAATCAGGTACAGGGAAAGTACAAGGTGAGCTGAGCTACCTTGTGGGCAAAAAGCAAGGAAGTGCTTGGACCAATGGGGAAATGTCAAAAAAAAAAAAAGGACATGGGAACTGACTTGGAGATACTTTTAAATCTGATAACTTAGATATCTACAAGAATGACAGTAATAGATGAAAATATTTTGAAAAACAAACCCAATTCAGGAAGTTGATAGTGACATTAGAAATACGGATTTTTAAAAAAGGAAGGATGAAGATAGGGGGAAGTTCTTCACAGAAGAATGCCAGCTAGAAAATAGAGAAGGAATCACAGAATTAGAAAGTCATCGTTTTGCAACCTCAGTATAGTAACAGATTCAGGCAACAATCGTCAATGGTTATGAAAAGCCATTCGGTGAAAGGTTGTGGGAGAATAGGATATACCAGTCAAAATGCATCTCTTCCAGATAATTTATAATAATAAAGAAAACTAATGTACCTTTTCAGCAGGGATATCTGAATGACCAAACTGACCAAAAATGGGATAACTTGACATTTTCTACCTCCTGATATGATTCAATTATAGATGTACACAACATACCTTATCAAAAAGCTAATCAAGGATCAGCAACCGGACAAATTCAGAATGTAAAACACTCTATAGAGCAACCAGCCATTCAAGGTCGTGAAAACCAAACAAATGTGATAGGGTGAGAGGGAGCAGTTCTAGATCAAAAGAGGCCAAAGAGAAATAATGTAGTCTGTGAACTGTGATTGGTGATTGGGGGGAATAGAGAATGAAAGTATAAAAATTGTTTGGGGACAATCATGCAAATTTGAATGCAGACTATATTATTATTGAATTAATCTTAATCTTTCTAGGTATGATAAAGGTGTGGTTAATCAGGAGACTATTCTTGTTCTTCAGAGGTGCATATTGAAGTATTTAGGAGGAAAGAGCCATGATGGTCTGCCACTTATTTTCAGAACGGTTCAGTAAAAGAAAATATACGTGTGTATATATACTTGTATGCATGTACTTTTTGTTGATGTATATCGTAGCGTTATGCATCCACGTGTATATACGTGTATGTATTATGTGTGTGTTGGTTTTGAGTGAAGGGGTCCTGAGCTCAGTACCTGACACACAGCAAGTGCATACATCTCACAGGCTTCTCTGCTACCCTCAAGTCACCTGTGGGCTCTCCTCTGCCTATCCTTACATTGGGGTTTCTTCTTCTATTCTTGGGCATCTTCTGTCCTTTTACCTATTCTTCTAAGCCGAAGTGATCTTGGTTTAGGACGTTGTTTAAAACCACCGTCTATAAAACAAACTTCCTTTTGGCCCATCATCAGGCCATGTTCTTGGTGCTGGTACCCTGCCCTCCTGGAGCTCAGAGTCTGGTGGCTGTGCCCCTGAGCAGGCTCATTGCCTTCTCCACCCTCTCCATGGTGCACCTCTGTTTTCTGCAGTCCTGGGCCACTCACAGCCCTGGGTATTAAGGAGCCAGGTTGCTTCACCCCCAGAGAGAAGGGCTCTGCCACCAGCAGAGTTAGTCACACCTGACCTTGAGCTACCCCTGTGCCTTGTCATCTCTCCCCTCTCATCACATTTTATAGCAATACCTGCTATTTATTGGGAACTTCACCTCATACCAGACACAGGCAGTGCTAATTGCTTTTAAACATATTTTTTCTTTTTAATGGATTGTTTGATGCCTTGACAGGAATTTATGTAACATAAGCTACAGCACAACAAAAAGAACAGCACACCGACTTCATAGCCAGAGCCCACCCGTGCTCTGCCTCTCTTACTCCATCCCGGGCCGTCCTTCCAGGGTAACCCTGTCTTGAATTCTGTGTTCTGCATTTCTCCCTTTTCAAACAAATGATTCTAATCCATACACACTTGTAAAAATCGCTCCTGCTGTATGAAGTCTTCCAGGACTTTTTTTTTTTAATCCCCTGCTCAGCATTATATTTCTCAAGTTTATCACTTTATAAAAGGAATTGTAAATATTTGGGAAAGATGAACCTTCACTCACCCTGTAGCTGAGCATTTGAATTCCTAGGTGTGTGCCATAGAAAACTCTTACAGAAGAAACAGGTGCAAGGATGCTCGTAGAAACACTGTAATAATAAAAAATGTGGAAGTAGCTCAAATGATTATTGACAGGAGAGTGGGTTAAAAAAAAGCATTATTTAGTGAAATTTTATGCAGCAGTGAAAATGAACAAACTACAGCTATGTACTTGTAAGTCCTCCAGTAGTCCTGATAAGATAGAAGTAATCCCATTTTATAGTTGAGGAAACTGAAGTCCAAAGAGCTTGAATTGTCCAAGGTGTCAAAACTAGTACATTATAGAACTGAGATTTAAATATAGGTCAGTGACATTCTAAAGCCGTAACTACTAGGAAATATTGTTCCCTGCTGAAATGACTTGTATTTATCAGCTTTTCCTCCTGCATGGAGAGAGGAACTTTGTATTTTCACATAACCCAGCAAATGGTTCATAGTGGGAGTTGTAGAAATTTCTGATGAATCACCTAACACATCCTATTTTGCACAGGAAACAAGCAGATGAAAGGAGCTTAGTGGCTTGGCCAGTTCCCGAGGTAGTCATCAGAGCCCCTGTGATTGGAACCCAACTCTTCCAGGCTTCAGTGATGGCAGCTGCTAGCCTGTGACTTCCCTTGGTTTCGTGCTCCCCTCTGGGAGATGGCTGGGAGAGGCCTGGCAGGTAGAATGTCAGCAGTCACTTGGATTACCACTGACCCTGTTCCCAAATTCCTTATCCAGGGCCTCGTGGAGGACAGCAAGGGCCTCTCCTCAGCTGGGTGATTCTTTCATGCATAATATGAAACTGCCCAGCCTGTAGCAGCAAATGGGCTGCAAGCTTTTGTCTATCTCGTGAATGTCACTGACATGATTCACTTGTGGGAAATGTGCAGGTGTATTTGTGTGTATGGGGTGAGGGGTGTGGAGAAGGCAAAATAATGGATATTTGTATCTTTGGCAAGTGAATCGTATTCTTTGTAAATGTAGATTATTGTGCTACTTAGGTATTTTGGCCCAGTGGAACAAAAATTCAGAATGAGAGCAAACGCCTAACTGCCTAGCTGTCCTCTTGAGCTTCTGCTTGTCTGTCATCCAGTGCTGGGAACGCACTGAGCAGCTGCACGTTTTCTCTCTGCCCCCCAAAATGACAAAGGCTTCTGGTTCTATACTTCAGATTTCTGCATGAAGGTAACGTCCAAATGACCAATGATTATATGATGTTATAAAATCTAGCATGGGTAAAAGATTCATTCAAAAGCTGAGTTAGACTAAGGGGTTTTAACGTAACAGCAATATTCATTGATACAGGTTAGATTCTTCATTGCAACCAACCTTTAAGAAACTCCCACTTGCTGAGTTTTGGTGTGGTACTAAAGAAGCAAATCCAGGAAGCTATTAAAACACTCTTTCCTTTTCTTACTGCATTATCTGTGAGACTAGATTTTCTTCAGTATACTTTAACTCCAACTACATTTTAAAACTGATCAAACATAGACGTGGATATGAGAATCTGTCTTAGGCCAGATGTTAAAGCAGTTTGCAAAATGTGGAATAATACCACTTTTCTAACTGAAACCCTTTTTGAAAATGTAATTATTTTTCAAAACAATGTGTTATATTAAAATTTGATGCTATTATTGAAATGAATTAAAACACATTTTATAAAATTCGAATTTTAATTTCTAATACTGTAAGTGTTGCTGGATAATAACTTACACAAACTAAAGCTCTTAGGGCTCCTCAGTGCTGTGAAAGGGATCTTGAGACCAAAAGTTTGAGAATTCCTGGCTAAAATATAATTCATTATATTTTCTCATAAGATTTTTTTGGGTGGTTACTTTGCTTATTTTAATATGTCAGCCCTTAATCTCAACATGCACCGGACAGTATGTGGACTGTGTGTAAATACCAAAAAAGAACACAAGTCCTTCGTGAAGAGGAATTAAATTAAACGTAGAACTTTGCAGCCTGTCATTGTAATTTGCAAATCAGATATCTTTCATTTCATTTTTTTCTTGAGTTTAGTCAGTTGGCCTGTTTGGTTTGCCATCCATCCACCAAACATGTGCATTAAGCAAAGAATAGTCCTAGTGTCGTTCTCTGCCTCTTTCTGTACAGAACCACTACCTGTGGGGCGCATGGGCCCTGTCACAGGTCTCCAGGTTCTCTGGCGGTCAGGCCCAATGTCAGGCCAGGAAGGACCGGCCTGCGGGTTCACAGCGTAGGTCACTTACGGCAGTAGTCACTCAGTGGGCATGTGTTGGTAGATACTCACTACTTGTGTGCTGGCACAATGCCCTGCTTTCTGTTGGAATGACAGGAGGTAAACTGGGAGAAGTATTCATTTCCCTTATTTTGTGATTTCTTCTCAGCTGCAGCTCAGCTCGGGCCTGGCATCAAACCGCTATTGCTCAAAGCTCGCACGCTTGAGCAAGCTCTTAACGAACTGAGCCACTCGGCCAGCCCCTCTGTGATTTCTTTTTTAGCCTCATGGGTGTCAGATTCTAACTCAAGAAATTTTTGGTGGGATTTTACTCTTGGCGGCACTACTTCTAACGTAATAAGTTCTTAGTAAGGATGGGTGAAGGAATTCCATTTTTATTGAGCAGCTGCTGTGTGCCAGGTACTGGCAAGTCTTAGTTAGTATCTTAGTAGCTCTCTAGGGTGATAGCTTTATCATGATGTTTTATAGGTGATGGGACAGAGGGAGATCAAAGAGGCAAAAGAACTGAAAAATAAAACAAAAAATGTACCTCAGTGCCACGTTAGATTCAAATCCAGCAGTTTATCTGCAAAGTGCGTGCTCTTTTCACCATGTGAGATTGTCTGTATGACAGTCTGAGTCCCGATAACATTGACTATTTTATATGGTGTGATTGTTGCTGTTGTGTAAACAGGTGGTTAAGGGACAGAGCAGTTTCATATACTCTTGCATTTCCAACTTGTGTTTATGTATAAATCACAGTTTTTATTGGACATATTCATCTCCTGAGGTCAGAGACAAGGTGGGATAGGTGAAAGGGCACTAGATTGGAAGCCAGATGACTTTTCCTGTCTAAGCACCATCCCTAACCTGTATTAGCTGTGTTATCTTGTTCGAATCACCGAATCTCTCTGGACCAATTTCCTAATCTATAAAATGGAGCCAATAATAGAAGATCTTTCCCAGTGTACTTTGGTGCTAGAAACACCCAATTTTGATAACAATATTTGTGCAAAGGCTTTAAAAGCAGAGGACTTGTACTTATGGGGATAATCGGAAGTCCTGGATCTTGCTATCATATAAAATCTAAAAATTACTTAAATGATCATTACTGGTGATCTCCTTATCCCTCGACTAATGGGACTTTCTTTTGAGACCAAGACCTTCTTTTCTTATTAGGTTGAGTCATATAAAATTGCTGCTATTTCACTTTTTTACAAAAAATGGCACCTTTATAGAGTTAATGTTAATACATTTAATAGTTATTAGTACAGTTACACATGAATGGTTAAAAAAAAAACCTATGTAAATTGTACCTATGGGAACATGGCAAAAAGTACGCCTCGATCTTTGTTCTGTTTTCCAAAACAAACTTTTACTCTGAATTTTCTTTCAGGCTACCTTGAGGACATATGGCCTAGCAGCCAATTAAATGTTTTGTGTTGAAGAAGCACTAAAGGCAAGAAGGATCTTCTTATAGAATGGGTAGGGCTGACATGGAGAGGTGGCCAGGGCTGAAAAAGGAGTTGCAAATGCTAGTGTGTTACTTCAGTTGTGTTGTGACAGATCTATGTATTTGAATGCCTGTATGTCTGTGTGTCTATTTAGAGAGAGATCTTTCTCCTGTGAATGCTTTCTTTAAGTGGGGGAAAACTGGCAAGAAAGGTGCTAGGCATAAAAATAAATAGACAACTTAAGAGGCTGCAGTTTCTCCATGTAAAGAATCATTTGTTAAGAAGAGTCACAGCTTTTAAAAATACTAAATTTAGTAGTTAAAATTCTTTTTGCAGTAGATGGGGAGGCGCTCGTGGTTGGCAAATTATTCTCTAAAACCCTCCCTTCCTTCAGTTGCAGTGTTCTTACAATTTCTCTAGAAAATGGAGTGTTTTAAACAAAAAGTTTTGTCTCTTAGGCTGGAAAAATAAACTGGAGTGGATTCTAAGCACAAATGAAGTTTTAAAATCACCGATTGGTCTAGATTTTATGAAATTTACTACTCAATTTCTAGAAAAACAAACAATAGAATAAGTCCCATAAATTACATTCTTTGTCCTTGCCATCCCCAAATTATAACTAAAAACGCTATCAATGCTTGATATCTAAAGGTCTATGAAATTTCAGAGGAAGAAATCAAGTTAAGAATCATGAAGATGGAAATCAAAACTTAAGACATTAAAAAAGCTAAAGCAGCAACTATGAGGCTTATTTAATTCCTGTTTCTTTCCTGTGAAAATCAATTGTGACTCACCATTAAATCCACACCAGCAGCCCAGGCATTTAGCGATTCAGAGAAGACTTTAAATACTTCTTTGCTTGAAGTATTTCACCTTTGGTTTCAGATTTTTTGTGAGGTTGTGGCTTTTTGTGCTCTTAAACCAAACATTCTGTTGTTTTTTTTTCTCTGGAGCTAAAATTTTAGTTTTTCTGTTGGCCTTTCTTAGCTCTGAGGATTGCCTCAAAACGCAGCTGTAGCAGTGCCCTTTATCATATCCCAAACTGATTTTAACTCACTATTTACATGCACACAACACTGACTTATATTTTACAAGCAGTCAGTTTACAGATTTTTAAAAACGGCAATTGCCCAAAGCCTAATGTACCAACCCATGGCAGAAAAGCCTGCCTCTTGCAATTAAAAAGAACATTTACAGGGAAAAGTTAATTGTACTTAGTCCGTGAACTTGGAAAAGTAAATATCACCTGTCACATGTCATTTCATCCATTAAAAAAAAAAAAAAGAATTTAGGACACTAAAAGCACAAAAAGCCATTTTACATTAGAATCACAAATATTCTTTAAATATACTCTGCATTGGGTAGACTTACCAGTTTTTCCAGCCTCTTATGGTCTCTGTAGGCAAGATTGGGTCAGAAACTGAGCATAACATCTGATGTTGAGGGAAACAGACTTTGCTTTCTGCCTGGGCTGCTCGTGTTGACCAGTGGGAAATGCATTAGCTCTTAAACCAAAACATTTAAAGTGCTCTATGAAACGTTGACATCTCGCCAAAGGTTTGAATGTCAAGTGCTACAGATGTCCAACCCTCTTTGGAGCCGAGCTTTATGTGCGTGTATAAATTGGGTCTAATTTGTGCTCAGGGTTACAAGTTACCAGGGTGTGACCAATGGTAAGTGGTATGAAACTAGGTACAGAGAGGAAGGAGAGAGGGACCCCCAAGTGAGAGCCCCAGCCAGCAGGAGGCTGCATCTTTCCCATGCCTAGCCGTGACCTCTTCCTGTCAGGGGCCTAGCCGTGACCTCTTCCTGTGAAGCGATTGTGAGAATAGCTTCTGTATTTACTGGGAAATATTTTCAAGTTGTAATTCACATGGCTTCAGCTAGCTCCTTGAAACTCATTGGAAACCCGCAAAATATTTGAGAATAAAACAGACGAAAACGTTTCCCATTTCAGTAGCAGGGCAGGAAGTGGGGAGGATGTGCAAGTGGGTGTTTACCTGAGCATCCACGAAGAGCGAGATAACTATCATATGGGAAGGGAGATTGAAAGGACCCCGAGGCAGACTCCTCTGGACTTGGGTGGTTTACCCTGTTCGAGGGGTGGACCTGATGCCTGATGGTGCCTGGTCTACGCCAGCTATTATCCTGACACATTTCCACCTGGAATTGGTGCTATCGGGTTTCCTAATCTCTCCTCACTTTACCCCATCCTCTTAAATCTGGTTTTGGAGCACCCTGTTTGACCCCAGTTTCTGGGTTATTTTTTTATTTAACAAATTGCCGGGACTCTGTACTCTTTACATGGCACTCGGGATGAATGCAATCATAATTTCTCTCGCGCAGGAGGAAAGGCTCGAGTTTCCTACAGTCTGCCCACTTTGAACTCATCCAGTTTGGGACCTGTTTCCTCACCTTTACTTATCTTACCAGTTTCTCTCCCTTTGTATTAAGGTAGCACGCTCATTGTCAATCGTGCTTATTATCATTATCAAACAAAACAAAACAAAACCTCTCAAAGCTCTCCCTTGACCGTAAGTCCCTCTTGTTTGGTACCACTGTCTACTGATCATCCAAGCTATAAACCATTAAGCTCTTCTTCACTGTCTCATCCACTCTTAGCCAGTCAGTCACTGAAACCTGATGATTTTTTTTTTAACACCTAAGTATTTCTTGTCTGTTATTTCCTCTGAGCCCAAGGTCATTTTGCCTGGATTCTCCGCCTCCAGTCTGTCATCTTCTCCCACCCCCCGAGTGGAATCCCTCTAATATACAAGCATGGCCATGGCCTTTCCGTGGATCCCTGTCACCTACAGATAAGTTCATGCTATTCAACAGAGCAGACCTAGTGCTGTGTGCTTTGGCGTTCCTCTGCTCCTCTGCTGCCGCGGCTTGCCTGGAACTTCGTATTACAGCAACACTGACCTGTTTGAACTTCCTGCAGTTATTGATGGCTCTTGCCTCCTTGCTTGGGCTTATGCCTTTTCCTCTGCTGGAATAACCCTCTGGAATAATTCTCTTCTCCTTTCACGTGGTTCATCATGAACTTGAACTGTGTTTCTAGAATTTCAGCCATTTATATACTTGCTTCTCAATCTTTATTATATCCACATATTATCTGCTCTATTTCTATCTGACTTTTGTTTACATGGAATCACCTTAAAACTTACTTACATGTTTAGCTTCAGCCTAAGCAAGAATATCTTTGAAATGACATATTTTATGTGTTTGTTTTAATTAAAATAATGCCATGACTGTTTAGTCAATTTGTCTGTGTGTGATTTATCCCGAGTATTTCTCAAACCTGTGGAAACATGGCTTCAGTTTGGCCTCCCCTTCCTCTGGTAAGCTTTCCTGAGCCCCACATGCAGGGTGAACTGGCCCTCCTCTGTGTTAGCTGATAATACTATTGAGCCTTCCATCCATTCTTATATGCATCTGTTCATCTAATCAGTCAAGTAATGTTTAGTCAGTCAAGTAATAATGATAGTCACCTCTGTGTGCAGCTGCCATAGGGCTCTAGGGTGTAGCCATGAGTATTTAACCTGCGGTTTTGAATTGTGTGTCCTTTGTTTCTGCCATTTAGATTGGGAACTGTTGGTTGTAGGCAAGGGCAATATTTTGTGAGTTTTGAATCTTCAGCACCTACCCCTTGAATTCGTGGAATTAAAAGAATGCAAACGTAGAGATGTGTTGATTTCTTAATTTTCTCTTCTTCCACATTTCACTTATAACACTTGATATAGTTCATAAATGAGACTTCTAAACATTGATAAGAGCCTAAGTAAAAGTTTATATGCTCACTTTTATTTGTGAAGGCCTGGGATCCCTGATACAAAAATAAACTGTCTTTTATAAATATTCAGTTTGATATGCAGGAATAGTTTTGTTTGTAATCCAGTAACTGCTGGAACTGGCTCAGATACAAAGAAACCTTGAGTCAAATGTGTATATTTTAATCAAACCAGTATTTGGGGCAGTGCAGATCAAACTTGGTTCAATTTTATTGGATTAAATAATGATTGCATTACTGAAAGTAACAAGCACTACATGGGAATGCCAAAGGAAAAAAAAAATTAAAGGAACTTGTACGTTTTTAATGTCATCCCATTTTGTAAGCCGAATGGAGAACTAGACATACCTAAAACTCAAATCTCTAAGTCTTCTGTGTTCAACACTCTTGGGGAATTATAAAGAAAAAGTATTGGCAATCCACTAGTACAAAGCTAAGGACTTAGGGAAACCTGAGGGCATGGCAGAAACCCTCAATACTGAGGTGAAAATCAGTGTCTGGGTTTTAAGAGCCTATCCAAAGCAAAAGAGGCCAGTTTAAACACGGAAGGTATATTCCTGTAAACTAGATAATTTAAGAGGCACGCCCTTTTTTACTGTGTTGACATCGCTCACATCTGTAGCTTCACACTGTGCCAGAAACCATTAACTGTCCCAGGAGGCTCCCACCCCTATCCCATGCTCTCTAAGTTGAAGTAGAGCCGTAGCAGCATGAGATGTGCAATTGGATGTGGTTTTTGGTTTAGAGCATGTCCTGTTTCTAAACACACATCTATTCTCTCATCTCTGGCCTTTATCAGGTTGTTTCCTTTTCCACCTCTACCTGTTGACCTCTTTTGCATCCCTTAAAACCCAGCTCAGACTCCACTGTTTTGGGCGCTTTTCCTTAACTTCCCACCAAGCATGAAGGAATCGCTTCGCCTCTCTGAATTCCTGTAGTGCTTAACTTGATTTCTCATCAGGCCTCAGACAACGTGCTGTCTCACAGATGGTAATGGCTCTCTCCTGGTCTGGGGGAATGGTGGGCCTTTTGCTGATGTTCCCCAAATCTGTTATTCATGTAGTCACTTGGCATGTCGGGCGACAGGGCAGGTTATTTTTCTGCAGCCTCTGTCACCACATATTGCCAGCTTGTCTGGGCTGGCTTCCTGGGCTTGACACATTACCCCTTTCCTTAGCTGTTTATGGGCGCCCCGTCTCCTGAGACACCAGCTCAGTGAGAAAGGAAGATTCAGATACAAGAAGGTGATTATATTTAATGAATGAGGACCTCCACTATTTTTCCTTCTTTCTTCTTTTCCTAGCCCCAAAATGTAGACATTTTTAAAATTTTGATTTCTTTTTGTTGATAATTCAAATTAAACTGATTTAAAATTTTTATCAAGTCATGTGTTTATGTACTTTAAGAAATCAAATGAATAATAGCAGTTCCTGTCTTTTTCCTCTGCCCCCGTGGCCACCTCTTTCACTTTTTGGCTATTATTTTTGAGTATCTAGCCCTATATTCCTACATAACTGACAGTTCTTGGCTTTCAGAAATGTCTGTTGACTTCTTTGTGTGGAAGATGAAGATTCAGCTCCCTTACCCTCTACACTTCTCTCCGTCTAGATAATTATGTCCACAATTTTTGAACAAATCTGTGACCCTCATTCATATCATTAGAGCTATGCAAATGTTATTCGTAGCCAGGCTCATCAGTTGCATTGAAAGGGATCACAATTCCCCAGCCTCCTCTAGTGACCAGGAGAAACCCGCCCTCTTGGCTAATGAGGGCAGGCTGCCCTCTGGGTCCCGGCTGCCCATTTTCCCATTTACAGTTAGTTAAGATATGTAAACATGCTATGTAAATGTTAGCTCTTATTATCACTTCAATATTATAATTTGAGCCAAACCTCATTTAGTTCACTTCTTAGCTGTACGTGTATGAATAATAAGCTTAAAAGTACTTTTGCCAACAGCTGTGTTTATAGAGAACTATATAAAGTCTAGGTGTATGTTTATGTATACCTTGTGCCGGATAGATATTTCTTAGCATTATACCTCAACAGGCAGAGGAAATGTGTGTTGACAAATCCTTGTTATTAATAACTTTCTGTTGTAGTTCACTGGAGAGCCCTTTTAGCTTATCAGCTTTAGGCATTTTGTTTTTGGCAGCTTGCAGTTATTGGTATCTTAGAAAAGTCACAGACATGAAATACACACACTTCCAAAACTGTGTTTTTAATTCTTGTCTTCCTAGTTGAAACTTCCCTGCTACCGGAAGCCTGAATCAAGTTCTCATTCTTTGCATGGCAGCTCTCTTTTGTAGCTTTCCCATTATTACACTTGATAAGCAAGGCCCCTGATTTTATTTTTTTAAACGTGTAGACGATCACTTAGAAGATAAAAGCTTCTGAGTCATAATTAGGCAGGCTGGGGATTGGCTTGTGGAGTTGATGAGACTGTTGGGAGACCAATTTGATGTAAGAATAAGTAATCAGAGAAAAGAGCTAACGACCAAATAACGGGATGTGCGAGGAAGACAGTGACTCTCGTTTATTTGTAAAAATACTATTTTGGGGATTCATACTAATTGGTAACCCTCATGTGTGAGCGTGTGACTGTCTAAACTTTTGTCATAGATCGAAAGGGGTGTGTGTCTAGATAATGAGCACCCAGTAGAGAGAAAACCTGTGGCGGTTGGATATTGCTCAGCAGAGGGATGTGGGACATAAACAAACACCCGCCAGCAGCGGCTAATCACCTGTGCTGTCATGTGCTGCCATGTGCCTTTTCTATACATCCATAACTAACCACAGCCCTTTTTCCTGCAGCTTTACGTCCCTCCTCAGGGGGTCTCCGGCAGCCTCTCAGAGTCTGCCCCTGAGATGAAACCTGAGGCCATCTTTGGCTAGAGTTTCATCCAGGACAAATGAAGAAAAAAATTACAGCAAGTTTGTCTACTCCAGTTTGGAGACAAAGTCAGGGTTAGATTAATCTGTGATTCTTTGCAGTTAACCATAATATAACGTATTCAGAGTTAAATTTGAGTACAAAAGTGAGTTCTGCCTCCTATCAGCTTGGGGTCCTTGGGCTAGTTATGTAATCTTTCTAAATCTCTGTTTCCCATCTATTATATAAAAAAGGTCTAGTATCACTGACCTCATTAACATTGTTGGAAAGTGTAAATGAAGTAATGTGTATTTTCTTCCTGCAGTGCTCAGCCCAAGTAGGTGGTCAGTAAATGGTAGGGGCTCTTATTAATATGCTCACAGGCTAATTGTTGCTTTATAATTTTCTTGAAATTGGATTGTTGTTGAACATATGGTAGATATGCTTTGCAGTTGTCGTAAATGTTGATTTTTATGAAAAGATCCAAATTTGAGGTCTTTGGCTCAGTAAAGATGGTTATGGGAAAACTCTCAGATGACGGAGCTACACATAACCCTGGAAAAAGTATTTCCAAATTATAAACTGAATCCCAGGAGGAAATAAGGGGCATGCAGTAGCCTGGTGAGCTCAGACCTTCAAAGACAGGCCCCCGCGGGTGGTTCCCCTGCGGCTTCGCCTCAGGGGCCCCTTTCCCACTCCGTTCCATCCCTAGTTCTACACACCCAGCCTCCACAGGGAGGGTGCTCCCTCTTTCTTCACTGCTCTCAGCTGGAGAAGTTGTTAGAGTCCTGCTTTTTTTTCCTCATGTGGACAAAATGTGGGGCCCCGAAGCACCTCTTCACTGCTGAAACCACATCAGGCTGCTGCCCCACAGGACAGACTATAGCTCATTATGCTAATACCACGATTAAGCAAACCGACTAGATAAATCTCTCTTATTTCAAGGCCTATGAGACACCAAATGATAGGAAAGGCAGGAAACATTTATTTTTCCTTAGGTAAGGAGAACAAAAGTTCACATGAGCAGACCATTTGGTAAATATTTTGTTAGTTCAGCTGACTGGTTATTAATCCATTCTGTTTTATTGTGGGAAATGTCAGAGTTTTATTTTATTTTTTTAATGGGCCACAGGAAAAACAGTGTTCGAATTTAAGTGACCTCTTGCCATTTGCCAAACCTAATATCACTTATTAACTCCACATATGAAGCATGTGCTGTTTGCTAAGAGGAAGGATGCTTACCACTCCATTGGAGGCACTTAAATTTCAAAAAACAAAACCAAAAAGCAGCCCACAATATAGCTGCTTCTGAAATATCAGAAATGGTGCGGTTTTAAAAAGGAAATGATTATGAGAGATTGTAGACATTTTCAAACCAAGTTTTCCCAGAACTGTTTGGAATGCTTTCTCTGACTTGGCCTGGGAGGCATCTGTATGTCTCTGTAGCTCTTATTCTGCAATTTCAGTTTAATCCTCTTTCATTGGGATGCCAATTGGCATGCTGTAATTAGTCTAAATATTTATAGGCTCTTGCTACTACAAATTTATCTTTTAGGCAGTTGAAACATTTATTGACCTTGTGGTCCTGGGGGTGTGAGAGGCA